GCAGAGAAAGGTTGTTTCCTGCTTTCATGTGGGCATGGCCTGTCTATGTCGCTATCGATTTATCGATGTAACGATGTATCAATGTATCGAGACCGACTAGTTTTTGCCTCTGTGTTTAGGTACATGCTCTGTTAGCAAAATATCTTATAACCCACTGAATAACTTTTAATGAAAGCCAACTGACCATAAAGACACACGCACAAAGAATTTAATGGCTATGGTACGGCCAGTTTTAGAGATATTGACCTAAAAGTTGTTGTGGTTGTAGCTGACATGATCCCCAACATATAGTCTGAGCACCAACCGATTATAAAAAAATATGTTTAAAACGTCATTAACTGTGTGAAGTCAGCTCCATTTGTCTGTTAGCAAAATATCTCATAAACCATTTCTCAGAGTTTGATGAAACTTTCTATAAAGAAATCTTGGATGTATCTCTACAAATGGTTAGGTTTTGTAGCCACCCAAATTCAAGATGGCCGACACAGTCCGCTGGCATTAGGAAACAGAAAAATGGCTGTTGTTTATTTAGTTTTACAGATAAATAACTAAAATTTGGTGTAGTTGTAGCAGAGTCATTCACATAAAAAAACTTTTAACTGCGGCTTACTGTGTGAGATTATTTAAAAGTTTCTCATTAACGGTTGGTATCGAGACTGTTTGTCTGTTAGCAAAATATCTCATGAACCACAGGATGGATCTTAATGAAAATTTCAGAAATTAATCTTAGGATGTACATCCGCAACGGTTTACCTTCTGGAGTCGATCTAATGTGGGATGGCCGTGGCACAAAATCGTTAGCCAACACAAAAAATCACTGTAACTCAGTCAGTTTTACAAATATTAAACTAAAACTGCATGTGGTAGTAGCGGAGAGTCGTTCACGATGCATGTCTTAAGACAGTATTGCGTCAGATGGCCTACAAGATTTTGAGGTTTGACGGAAACGATTAATTTTTTGCAACGCTCTAAACAACTTGAGGTGTGTTTACTCATTTTTGCAACACAAGCCAAGAAATGCATTTGTTTATCCAGCTTTAATCTGGACGGCGTCTTAAACACCACATGCTTCCTGAAACTCCTCCTGTCAGAACACACACACACACACACACACACCCAGGTGATGGTGCAACACTCCTCTCCTGCTCCCTGTCTCACTCCACGCACCAGCACACACAACACTCCCACGCGATCCTGCTGGGGAATGCATGGCCTCGCTCTCCCAGATCACAAACTACCAGCGGCGGAAAAGCCCCGAGAGGAACTAACTCAACAGCTGACTTAACGGCGTGGAGCTTCGATGATATTCAGCAGGCACTTTTCTCATGAGCAGCATTTGTGAGGTGGGGTTTTCAATCACGTTTTCACTTTTAAACACTTCGCTCGCTGTCAGTCTGCTGAGTCAACATGTCTGCACGGTTTGGTCCCACTCATAAAACGTTGAACGTCTTAGTTTTTATAGATTTATTTCCTTTCTTGTTGGTTGGTATTTTCTATTTAATGTTAATTTCAGTGAAGGTGTGTGCTGCTTTTTTGGCTCTTCTGTTTGGCGAGTAAAGCCCGAGCGGATGGCTTCGAGGTGTGTTTTTCTAAAGTTTTATGACCCTTTTACAGTCACTGACCATAACCAAGTTTGTTTAAACCGGGTGGCAGGGGGATAATCCTCCCTCGCCAGCATACATGTTTCATAAGCGAAGAGATAAGGTTGGGTATACGACATAATATCGTGGATGTGACTAAGCTGAGAGGGTCAGACTCCCCTGAAGGCAGTCTCTGATGAAAAAACCTTTAAATTGAGTATTTTGGGTGGACTTTAGGGAAACACAGCTCAAGTGGGGATGCTGAACTGTTGTATGAAAAACTGACAGGATATTCCGATTCAAGCTGTTTTAATGTTATGCAGGCCTGCTGTTGAGTTAAATAAATTCATTCAGTGTCATTCAACTTTGAACAAATGGAGAAAAAAAAAAAAAAAAGACATTTCACTTACCTGCATCAGATTGACATATCAGTGAATGTATGACACTCGAAGGATAAATACAACAAACTTCACCTTTTTGAACTAAAACCTGGGTAAACATTTATTGAACACTTTATGCATTTGTGAAGCAAGGTGGTGGTAGTGTCATGATGTTGAAATATTTCAAAGAACAGAGGTTGTACTCTTTGTATGTGGATTGTTCATAATAAACCTATATCTAAAATTGGTGTTTCACATCTGGTTAGATTTATATGACACATTTACCAAAAGCAAATGTCCGTCATTCAAAAAAAAAAAAAAAAAATCTACTACCAACAATATCACCTTCCCAATATCCTGAATGTCTTCCATGTTGGGCTGGGTCATTATTTTTTGCAGGACACTGTACATGCTCATACGCACTATATATATATATTATATATGACATTTTCTATAATTTAAATAAACATTACTGTTTGTTTAATATGTATGCATTTGTAAACCCATATTTCATTTATTATAGTGAAATAAATTCCCACATGAATTATGTGAATTATATCTATGTTTTTGTTTTTTATTTTTGCATAAAATAAATTCTGTATGCTGTATAACAGGGCTGTTCACCAAAACTGTTCAGGGGGGCCACAGTTTCTGAAAGCCAGCAGCTCAGGGGCCGGACATCCAGCAATTAACGTCATTATGTAAATTAACCAAGTATTACGATGATCTGTTACCTTTTTAAATTTGTTTTATTGCATTGAATCATAAATGCAATAAACAGAACCCAAACCCAGAAACCATCGCCCCCCCCACCCACCCACACACACACACACACACATTTTAATTTTATTTTTTGATGAGCTCCTTAATGGGCTAGACTGAAGTCACCCACGGGAGTAGCCCTGCTATCTAACATCATGTACTGAAATGCTTGATTTACAGTACTATGCTTCTTAGAATACACGTTCTTGAGGTAGTTTTTATATTCTTGCTTAATACATCTAAATAACATTGATGGAAGATGTAAATCACACATCACATGTGCTGTGCGTGATTTGTGGTGCAGTGACAAAACTAGTGTTTCGGCACATACCACTGGAAATAGGAAAAATATAAAAATGGAAATGGGGAAAAAACTGACCGTAATGCCACTTTGATTACGTGCTGCTGATCTCATGCTGCTGATTCATTTCGTGCTGCTGTATTCATTCGTACTCATCTACTCACACAGACTCATGTTCGTGCTGTTAGCGTATTTCTTAGTTTATGCAGTATCTTAAGTTCTTAGTACTGTTTCTTTTACAATTTACATTTTTGCTATTGTTGGATGTAACTGGGACCCCCGTGTACACAATTTTGTTCCACCTCATGTACCACATGTGATTTGAATGACGATAACCTTGAGCTTGAAATAATACCTTAATGGATCTGAATACTCTTGAGTGTAAAGGCGTCTGTCAAGTTGGAGTTTGACAAAGTGCATTTATGAGACAAAGAAAGACATTTCTTCATCTTTTGAACAAAATCCTGACTTTAGCTAAACATTTAGCTAATTCTATTAAGCACGGTAGTGGTAGCATCATGTTGCTGATTTAGTTCTAGAAGGAGGGGCTTGTGGTTATCGTTGTGGACTGCTAGAACCATTGTATTAGCAATTATAGATGGTTGTTAGTGATGTGGTGTTTGAAATATTGATACAAGGATACAAAATGCGAAGGTATTTTTTTTTCTGATTTACCTGTATAAATATGCAATTGGAACAGCAACAGACAGGTGTGGTAGCTCGGTGGTCGTGTAATCCTGAGGCTGCAGGGTCGAGCCCAGGTAGCGTCAAGTAGCAGCTGGCCACAAAACAATTGCAAAATCTTTCATGCAAGTTTACTCGCAGTGGTGACCCTTGCAGGCAGGAGTGGCCATTAAAAAAAAAAGTGTAAACAACAGCAACAAACAAATTTCCCTTTTAATTTTTTTAAAGAATTAGGATTAGCCAACTTTCCAGTCTGTGTGCTAATGTAAGCTAAGCTAACAAAGCTAGCTACAATTTAACAAAAGCATATAGGAAACAGTTTTCTAATCTCACATTCAACAATTATTACTTTTAGTTTGTTATATTTTAAAGTTTTTGTCACAGTCGAGTTGTTCTCTGTATGAACTAAACATCAAAGCAGACCAGCGCTAACAGGTTAATAGCATCAGTGCACCACAGAGCATGTGGTTTCTGTCGTCTTGGTTTACAGAACTTTGCTGTACCTGGTCGTCTTGGTAAAGGCTACCACTTCTGTCATTCAGCTGCAGGAATTATGTTATGAAACGTTAGTTACATGTGAGTTTAGTGGGAGCACTTGGTTTTGTTTGGAGTCATTTGAGATGATACAGGAGTCTGCGGTATCGCAGTTGCGCTTGACGAGCTGTACAGGTCCTTACTTGAAGTCGCAAATATGGGAGGAATGTTATCTGCAGATCTTCTAAATGAAATGTTGTGAATCATTGCAGCCATGTGGCACAAGATGACAGGAGGGATAGGATAAATTGGCTGTAGTACTATGACAAAACCAGTCACAGAATGCAGGGCTCAAGATGTATTTATTCATATGTCAAGAGCCACGGGCCAAATCTGGTCCCCCAAGATGATGATTTAAATGTCAAATATTGCATCTCTTCTAATGTTTTCTCTAAAAATGGATAAATACATCATTTAGTGTAGACTTCTCTTGCCAGCTGCCTAACTGTGAGGTCAGAAAGAAGGTTGGATCATTCTGTCATTATTAATTCTGATGTGGAAAGAGCAACAGAATGTCCAATGAGGCAGATCAAACTCTTGTTGATAAACCTGCAACCAAGAAATGATATCGGGTATTTGACTCGAGTTAATGTATCGGCTGAAAGTGGTTTGTGGCTCGGACAAAGTTTTTTTTAAATTTTGGCTCCTTTTGGTAACTGAGTTCAACATCCCTACAGGTAGCGTATGTGTCATTGAACTTTAGTGTGTTGTGCTTCAGCTGAGTTGAATTCCTGTTTATTTTGTATTTTTCTGTTTTAGTCAAAAGCATGATGTGGTTATGTTGACACCAACCCAACTGTGACAATGTACGAGGTGATGTCCGGGGACACCCTGTCCTGGAAGGTGCCCAGTCCAAAGCAAAGTGACCCAGAGCCCAGCACCGAGGAGCAGTTGCCTGGAGACGGAGGACCAGTAAAAATCCTCAAGGTGTGCTTCTGCACCAACAACAACCTGGGAAAAAACTTCAAGCTGGTCAAATGTGACAGCTCCTGGAAAATGAAGGTAAGAGCAGAAAAATATGGGGGAAGAAAAGAGAGAATTACAATAAAGGAAGTCAAACTTGCCCTGTGATAGACTTGCGACCCGTCCAGGGTGTACCCCGCCCCTTGCACAGTGATTGCCAGACATGGGCACTGGTGACCCCCGTGACCCAAAATGGAAGAAGCGGGTAAAAGATAATGGATGGACGGATGGATGGACGGAAGTCAAACTCGAGGTGTGAAAGCTGAATGACTGCTGAAATCTGCTGAAAAAGCTGAAACCAAGTTGGTAAAAATAAAAGAAGCAACACACTGGCTAAAATTTAAATGTAACAAAAAGCTAGCTAAATGTAGCAAAAGACTTGCTAGAAGCTAAATGTAGCAAAAGGCTTGCTAGAAGCTAAATGTAGCAAAAAGTAAACGAAAGGCTTAAATTAGCAAAATTCTAGCTAAATGCAGCCAAAGAGTACCTTAAAGCTAGCAAAAATCTTTCCAAAAGTTAGAGCAGAAGTCTACCTAAAAGCTGTAGGAACAAAAGGTTAGCTAAAAGTTAAAAGTAGCTAATAGATAAAAGTAGCATAAAAAGAAAAATGGATCAAGCATGCTGAATCAGATTTATTTAAAAGCAATTAAAGAGATCTTATTGTACAGTATTTTAATATTTATGTTATGAAGAAGCATGGTGGCACAACTGGTAGAGCTGTTGCTTTTCAGCGAGCAGGTCCTTGGTTCAAATCCCGGTTCGGGGGCCTTTCTGGGTGGAGTTTGCATGTTCTCTCTGTGCATGCGTGGGTTTTCTCTGGGTGCTCCTGTTTCCTCCCACAGACCAAAAACATGCATGTTAGGCTGATTGGTAACTAAATTGTCCCTAGGTGTGAGTGAGAGAGTGAATGGTTGTCTCGTTTGTCTCTATGTGGCCCTGTGATGGACTAGAGACCTGTCCAGGTTGTCCCCCGTCCCTCGCACAGTGATTGCTGGACATGGGCACCGGCGACCCCCGGGACCCAAAATGGAAGAAGGGGGTAAAAGATAATGGATGGATGGATGGAGGTTATGAGGAATTTTATCTAAATATTTGACTGTAAGGAAACTATTTGTAAAAAGTTAAATGTTTGGATATCTATATAAGTTATACAAGGAAAAAAAAGTCACAGTATGTATTTCCTGAAGGAGCTGAATATTTGGCTATGAACAGCTAAAATAACACAAAATATGCAGAAGTAGTTAGGATGCAAAAAATGTACAGAAAAAAATAAATGTGATAAACGCCAACCACAAATGGCCTTAAAAGATAAACAAAGACCAAACCTTTACAGAAGTTGTTTGTTCCTCAGGCCATCATTCATTCCATTCTGGCCAGCGGTCGATTGGGTCCAAACGTTGAACTTGAAGGATGCTATGGTCTCATGCTGAAGCACTTAAAGTCAGAAGAACTTCACTGGCTCCATCCAGATCTGACCGTTGGTGAGGTGGAGCAGCGCTACGAGAGCCTTCATGTGGAGGCTGAGTGGAGGTACCAACTGATTATCAGGGTTTTATGTTTTGACAAACTTTACTGTCTGATATTTGTTAGATATTAAAGTTTGTGATGTTGACCAACCTAATCTAAATTTGTATCATGTTTCTGTTCTTACCTAACAGGTATGATCTCAGAATAAGATACATTCCGGTTAATTTCCTGGAAAAATTTAAAAATGACAGATCCACGTTTATCTATTTTTACCAACAGGTACGCTGTTTAGATTTTTTCTTTGTTGCTTTAATCAGTAACTTTACCGTATATCTCACCTGTTGCAGATAGCTTTTTGAATGACTTCACATGTGGATAAATAGTTTAAACCTGAAACTAAAATTCCAATGTGACCAAGACGAAAATGAATTACTGTCATCTTAAAATAACTCCAGTCTGAAAATGTTCACACTTCCTGCAAGCAATAATTTATTCATGGTTGTTTTTTGGGGGGTGGTTGCGTCAATTTTGTACTTAACATTTAATTCAGCGACAGTATAATATACCTGCAGGAATAAGCTGCACAGGACTTAACTGCTATCTGCGCTTGCAATTAATCTGAGAATTTGTGTAAATAACTGTGTACACAAAGTTGATGGGATGTAAAGTTTAACTAGAGAAATTGCATTTCCTGCGAAAATGCAGTGTGACTGCTTGTAGCAGAATAACTTGCTAAAAACAGCTAATATTAGCTAAAAACATGCTGAAATGGTAGAACAAGTCATAGTTAGCAGAAGAAAGAACACATTTGCAGAATTAGGTTTAAATAACAAGAAAGGAGCACAAAAATTAAGACATTAGCTTAAAAAAACTGCTGAAAAGAAGCTGACAAGTCAGAAATAACATTAAACTACCTGAAGGATGTGGAAAGAGCTGAAATGAGCTAAAAAAAAAAAAAAAAGTGGAATTAGCTGAAAAAATAAAATTAGCATAAAATAGCTAAATAATAGCCGAAATTGCATAAAAAGTGCTGAAACTAGCAGAAAAAAGCTGAAAAGAGCATAACAAGCTGAAATTATCATAAATATATTAATTAGGCTGAAAGTAGCAGAAATTACCATGAAGAACTTGAATTTATCTGAAAACAGCTTAAATTTGCTAAAAATGAAACAAAAAAAGCTAAAAAGCCAACTGAAATGGTGGAACAAGCTTAAATTAGCAGAAGGAAGAGGAAAGAACACATGTGCCCACTTAGGCTGAAAGAAGCATAAATGAGCCCAAAAAAGTGGCATTTATCAGAAAAAAGCAGAAATTAGCAAAAAACTGCTGAAAGTAGCTAAAAAGATGGAACAAAGCTTAAATCACCAGAAGGAAGTGGAGAGAGCAGTTTTGCTGAATTATTCTTAAAATACCAGTAGTTGAAATGAGTGCAAAAAATGTGGAATTAGCTGATAAAGCTAAAATTAGCATAAAATAACTAAATAGTAGCTGAAATAGCAGAAAAAGTTTAAACTAAATGTTGTAGTTAGCAGAAATAATCTGAAAGGAGCACAAAACAGCTGAAAAAACAGCTAATATTAGCTGAAAGTAGCTGAAAAAAGTTTCAATTTACAGCTGAAATAAGCTGAGCCAGAACAAAATGTGAAAGGAGCAGTAGAAGTTTGTAAACTGATCTAAAGAGCTGAAGGATGTAAAATGAGCTCAGTTAATTTTTTATGAGGAAAAAAAATGCCAGAAAAGGCTAAATATTTCAATACACTGACGTTGCACCAATACCAAAATTCATAGCACCCAACTCCTTAATGAGTTGAACGTTTTGATATATGATTTGTAGAAATAACTTGAAAACTGCGGGACAAGAAAGACTCCGAAAAATGGATCACAATAGTGTGAATGCTTCATAAGAATTTGCACAATAAAATGACGTTCTTGTAAACAACTGAAATATTTAGGATTGGTATTGGTTTTAGGATGGCAACAGTCCATTTTAGCCATGGCCCACCTGGTCTCACTGTTAAATTAAACTCTTATTTTCCCAAACTGAGGTCAGTCAAAGAGGTATGTACAACAGGTAAGATGTTAACTGTTCATAACTTCTGCACAGAAACTTCAAATCTGAACTCTTTTCACTGATAGTGACAATAGTGAGGTCATGAATAAATGAATGTTTTTGAGTACAGGGCTTGTTCATATAAGACACTCACAAAAATGTGAAAATTAAGAATTTATTTAATTGAAACATGTTTTTTTTTTTATTGTAAAAAGTTGGTGTTGTATCATCCAAACCGTTAAACAGGACAAGTTACAGCAAACAAATATGCTAAAATGTTTTATTGTCCTACTGGATTGTTTTGGTGTATTACTGTGCCAAATTCAAATTTAGCTGATTGGAATATAATTTTGTAGGAAGTCATGTGAAATACATACAAATATTGGCTAATTACGGTGAAACTGTTCAGTTTTGGCCCACGCTTACATAACAGCTCCCAACATTTCCTCACAGGTACGTAGTGACTACATGCAGTATCATGCAAGTAAAGTCAGTGATGGGATGGCGCTCCAGCTCGGCTGCTTGGAGCTCAGGTGAGTCATTTTCTTTGAATTCAGAGTACATTATGCAAGTCTTGCACTGCTGGTACTTGGTTCACCTTTGCATTATGGGTAAATAACACCACCTATCAGCTGAAACGAATTAAACGTGTCAACAATTTGTTTGCTGCTTGTATAATTTTATTTTATTTTTACAGGAGGTTCTATAAAGACATGAATGCAAAAGGCCTTGAAAAGAAATCAAACTTTGAGCTCTTGGAGTGAGTTTTTACTCTACGGCTGTCTGTGTCGTGTGAAAGCTTTTAGCGTTGTGCTTTGACGTATGTTTACTTGAATAAGTGAGTGAGTTTTCAGCTTGTTAGAACATCTGTGCCTCTTGGAAATTTAGCAGGGTTTTTTTTTCTTCTCCACCTAAAGGAAAGATCTTATGAGCAATGCTTTAGTTGTGCTTAAAAGCAAAATCCACGCTTTAATTTAGTTTTTGTGTGTTTTTGCTTTAACCCTTTCAGAAAAGAAGTGGGTCTAGACCTTTTTTTCCCTCATCAGCTGATTAACAGCCTGAAGGTAAACATGATTTTATTCATCAGTTACGACTCGTGCATTAGAGTGTGTGACTATTAATTTCTAACTATTTTTTTCTGTTCTGCTCCAGGCTAAGCCGCTACGGAAGATGATCCAACAAACATTTCAACAGTATGCGGCACTCAAAGAGGACGACTGCATGATTAAGTTTTTTGAGACCCTCAAAAGTTTCAGCAGCTACGATGAGGAGGTCTTCCGGTGTGAGCTAGTGGTGAGTGCCGAATAATGTCCTTTCAGTGCCAAACTCTATGGCTATTGTTCGCTTGTAACTCTTTGTGGTTGACGTTTGTTTTATTATAAAGATGTTTTTGTTCTACACCAGCAAGGTTGGAGTCTTTCAGTGGAGCTGGTCATTGGAGGAAGAGGCATCCGTCAGCGCACTCAGAAAGACGGAGCGGTGAGCTTGAAACCATTTAGGTGTTCTCTGTTTTTATCCGTTCTGTACAAGCAGATTTGTTTTTGTAGGTTTAAATACAAATGGGGAAAAAAAAGGTGCAATTGTTACAAACCTCAAAGCTTAATTGTTCTTAGACTGTTGGTGATTATTCAAGGACACACAATTACGAGAAAATACGCAAATCTTCACTTGGAGTTATGCGAAGTTGGTATTCATCGTTTACACATGTAACCATAAACATTTCTGCAAATTTATTCAACTTATTAATTATTTCTCACTGTTTTCTGACACTAAACTGAGTATCAGAACAGATTTAATTTGAAAGTAAATTGGTAACTAATTGCCAGTAGGTTGCAGTTCAGTAAGACACTAGTTTAAAGCAGATTTGATGAAGCTTTGTAGATGCATTTGTGTTTGAAGAACGGACTTCCTGTATTCTTTTGCGCCGTTCATTTCCCCTGAAGCAGTGACCCCTACTGTTTAGATGAAGACCAGAAGTTTACAGCCTCGTCATAAAAGACAACTTTGTAGTACTTATGTCGTAACGCGATGGCGCCATGTCCAGTGCACAAGTATCTTCTGGACGTTATTCAAATAGACAGAAAAAACATCTGACTTTTGTCACGAGTTCCATGACAAATAATTGCTGTGCCACTTAAATGTATAATTTTCAGATTATTTTTGTTGTGGGATAACACCCAGAACCACATGCAAACTTTTCCTCCTTTTCATGCACAAATCTATGCGCAATCACTGTTTACTTCTTTAACTTGGCATCACTTTATCTGTTAAAACAACTCAAATGGCAGTCAGTTGAAACTTGAGGCTGTAGCTAAAACAAGTATAATAAAAACTATGGATGCACGATATTGGATTTTTTATATATACTTTCCTTTGTCAGAACATAGCCCTCTTGTTAGCCCTCTTATATTTGTCTATCCATTGTGCCATAAGACTAATCATGCTAACGGGGCTAACACGACGTCCAAATGTCTGTGGTAAAACTCACCCAAGTGCTATCGGCTATTAGCTTCTCAATGATGTCGGAAATGACGGCTTGTAACTCTGGTAAGGCTACATCAGAGAAAGATCTCAGACTGGGGACGATGTAGCGAGGCTCAATGTAGTCCATAAATCTTCGGAATCCGACATCCTCACCAACAAAAAATAAAACCTTCCACACAGCCGACATTTTGAATTTTCCTCTCTGCCGTGAGATCAGGTAGGCGCACATGACGTCATCACGTTGTGCTGCCGCTGCAGGCATCCTTGTCACTGGGTTGCCATTCAAAAACAGCGTCCTTTCTATCGTTGAGTTATTTTGATGGAATGGTCGATGTCCGATATTGAACTTTAACGCTAATATCGACCGATACCATGTCGATGATATCGTGCATCCCTAATAAAAACATATTTTCCGGTGTTTGCATTTGTCCAATAGTTTTATCTGTCTGCGCCTTGAAAGTGTACTACATCAAGAAAAAAGAAATAAACAGTTTTGCTCAACCTGCGATTGTGATGTTCAGGTTTTACACGAGGGTCATAAATTGAGGAGAAAGGACAGAAATCCAGGAAGTATAGAACTGTACACTTCATTACTAACCGAGTGAGATATTGGAGGCAAAAACATTACATAAATAAAAGCACTAAAATTGCAAAAAAAAAAAAAAAAGTTAAGATAAGCCTACCAAAGGTCAAAGGTGAAAACAACGAGGATCTAACTGAGATTGAAGGAAACCAGGGCGTGTTTATACGAGTTAACGACAAACGAGGGACAGGTGTGCTGATTAGTAAACATGAACCAGGTGTGACAGGAGAGCAGGCTAACATGACTAAGAATTAACATGTAAAAAACAATTAACTAAACTATGACGATCCAGACAGAACCATAATATTATGCAATGAGCAAAATGGGACTTTAAATGTAACACAAAGATAGAAAAAGTTCAAAAACCTTGATAATGTCCAACATAGGTGTGATAAATTTGTCATTGTGCAAGCTTACACAATAGGGTTGCACACAAAACCATTTTCTATACCTTCCTCTGGTATATGTGACATCTCTTTTTCTTGATTTGAAAGCGTTTTTTTACCTCCCAGTATTGAGTCCCAACATGTCAAGCAAAAACAAAGTCTTGTTTAAAGCGATCAGTAGACACTTTATCGTGTCGAAACTAGAAAGTCTCACCCTAAACAAATCAATTTATTGCTACTCTGACTTTGTGCCCCAGGCGGTGTTCCTAGCAGACTTCAAGCAAATAAAGAGAATCCAGTGCCTACCACAGAGCGACGACAAGGCGCTCCTGAACATCGACATCGAGGGGGCCAAACAAGTAAATGCAACAAGCAGCGTTTTGGATTGGGATTCTGAACCAGCGCACATTGTTTCATGTCCTGATTTTCTGTCTTTGGCAGCGGTTATCGATCAGCGTGGCCTCTGTGCCTGTGGCAGAGAACATGATGGATCTCATTGATGGATACTGTCGCCTGGAGAATGACACAGATGACAGTATTATCTACAGGCCTAACAAAGGTACAGCTCCTGCTTTTATCTAAAACCTACAATAAAGAGCAGGCACAAAGGGATTTGATATCATGCACATGCAGAGTTCTGTGGAAGTGCACACTACCTGTTGCAGATGGCTCTTTGAAGAATCTCATTTTGGAGAAATAGACTATTATGTTTGTGTATAAAAGTATATTATAACCCTTGGATGGAGTCTAATAAAATATGGAGAAAATAATCATTGGATTTACTTTACAGCCACAACTGCTTAAGTTTTGAAATCAACCAAATTTAAGATGGTCTGTACAGCTAATTCTGCTTATAAAACAGAAAACCTGTTCTGAGTTAGTTTTACAAACATCAAGCTAATACTTTGACAAATAATCCAGAACTGCTAAAACAATTTAATATTTCTCATCACAAGATGATCTTAGTTTAAAACGGTGGCGGATGATGTGCCGTAAAGGATGCTAGGCTTTCCATTTAAAATTTTTTATATATTAGTGCTGCCTGAAATCATGACATTCTGTGCTCTTTTATAGTTTAGAAAAATTGTTTAGAATATTTTAAGAGTGTGGATGATCTACTACTTACTACCGGTACTTGTACTACTATTCCTACTTTGCGGTTTTTTACTTATCGTGGGGCTTCTGGGTACGGATCCCCCGCGATAAATGAGGGACTACTGTATATGAAAGATCTGTCTAAAACAGGTAAGGTATTAATTGTTCACAAAGCTCTGAACTACACTTAGGTTTTTTGGGAATATGTTCATGACATGTAACCTGAACTTACATTTTTATTTCTAAATTAGATCCTAAAGCTACACGGATTTCCCTCCCTGACATCCCTACAGGGTGAGAAGTTGTTTTATTAAATCCTTTTTTCACTTTTAAAAAGTCATAGTTTGAACATTTGTCCCCTTTCTTTCATTCTGTTTATTCTCTGTAGCAGCAGAGACAACTCCTCGTCCCGACACAGTATGGGTGAGATGCTTTTTTTATAATATCCGTTAACAGTCATGTCACAATGATCAGTTTCCAGCTGTAAAAAAAAATCTGTTGATTTGAGGTTCTTTCTTTCTTTTTTTTCTTTTTTCAGGATCTGATATCTACTGTGAGATTCTTGATGAGAGGCCCAAATCAGGTTTGTCTGAAGCTGTCACTTGCTGGGTTTTCAGAAAAATACCTATTTCTGGTCTTTCACACCTGTCATCATTGCTCTTCAGCTGTGAAGTATGGGATTGAGCGAACTGACATTGTTCTGGGTCGAATTCTCGGGGCAGGCTTTTTTGGAGAAGTCTACGAGGGAGTGTACAAGAAATCTGTAAGATCCTGTTGATATTTATGGTTTAGATAAATCAGTAATTCTCACTGTCCAAACATGTGCGCTGAATCTGTCTGATTCTGCATGACTAGGCTGTACCTGTGAAGGTGTGGACTTATGGTGCGCCTGGGTTTTCACATGGATATCTGTATTTACTTCTCAGCATTGTGTTCAGTCTCCATTTACAATTTCAAAACATCCCGGACGAGCCCCCAAAGGGTTTTATAACTCAGCTCATTGGAGACTTAACATAGAGAAAGTTTGAGTTTTATTAATTAAAAACAAGCAAACTGAGTTAATTATCTTCTACATATGGCACAGACTGGCAATTAGCAGCCACAGTAGTGATCTGCCTCATGCCACACCCAGAACACCTTCAGTCCACAACTTCACAGGTACAAACAGCTGAGATTTGTGAAGATCCAGACTGATGCAATACCATTGCTTGGCTAGTGAGGAAGAAATGTGCCACAGATTCACAGTATCGAATTAGACAATAAAAGGTTGAAGGAGAGATGTATTCGCAGCAAAAAAAGCCCTCACCGTCTTTTTAATTATTATTATTTTTAATCAATCTCTATTCTAACAGAATGGTGAGCGGATTAATGTGGCAATTAAGACCTGCAAGGACTGTTCACCTGACGTGATGGAAAAATTCATGAGTGAAGCAGGTACAAACATGAAAATTACCGTACTTTTGAAATAAACACTACTATTTCTGCTGTACAACAACAGAAGTGGCATTACACATTGGAGAGCTACTGTCATTGCTTATCTTTGTTTTCCAGTTATTATGAAGAACCTCGACCATCCTCACATCGTCAGACTGATTGGAATCATAGAGCAGGATCCGGTGTGGATCGTCATGGAGCTCTATCAGTACGGAGAGGTCTGTTCCAGTGTTTGTAGTTGGATCCTGTTTTTTTTTTATGCCAGCACTGATTAGGCCTGTCAGGATAAACAATAAATCAATTAATCGCATGATAAATGAAAATTATCAACCTCATTTTCATTTATCGGCTTTATCGTTTCTTCGTTTCTCTCTCTTTCTACTGAAGACACTGGATGACATAAAGCTCAACTGCGGTGCTCTTCACTGACCCCTCCCTTTCTCTTTTCTCTTTAAAATCCATTTTAATCTTCCAAAATTGTGTTTTTGGATTGTTAAAAGCGGCTAAGCTGAGAAGCTAAGCTACAAACTAAGCTAACTGGCTGATCTCGAGAAAAAAATCTCTGTCTTGTCGAAGCTCCAAAATTCAGAGTTGAAACTCGTGCCTTCATCTACTACAAAGTTGTTTTTCTCTGCAAAAAGAAGCTGAGAACTTGTTTACTGATTGTTTTATTAAAAGCTTGGTGTGAAAAATGCTATGCTAAAGAGCTCAAATCACACTGAGCATCCGCCATTTTGAGAACCAATAAAAGGAAAGAGAGACGGCCCATCCCATTTTTCTTAGAAACACGCTGCTCACGCCCTCACTATCCATCCTTCGGTTCAAGCAGTCTTATACTGCCATCCGGTGGTCTAAAAGGTACTACACCAAAAATTAACCAACAATTCTTCTTAAATTTGACAAGAATTACTAATTATTGTCAAATCTCAATCTATTATTGTTTATTGCAATAATTTTTGAGGCAATTAATCGTCCAGCAAAATTTGTTATCGTGACAGGTCTAGCGCTGATGTTGAATAGTTCATCTGATTGACTGTGTAACTGACATTCCTGCAGCTCGGAAAATACCTGACCCAGAACCAGAACAAGCTGACAAACACAACTCTGGTTCTGTTCAGCCTACAGATCTGCAAAGCCCTCGTCTACCTCGAAGGAGTCAACCTGGTTCACAGGTGAGGAAATTAAAAAAATAAATGCTATTTCTCTCCACCTTTTGTGCAAGAATTGTTTAGTTATACTCTGGTCATTTTGGTCATACCTTAACAATAATATGTACGATCTCATGCTCAAAGTATGTGTTGTGAATGATTCCAGCTCCATCAAATTTTACCTCATTAGTTGGAAATCTGACTGATTTATAGACATTTTTTTTTGTTTGAAAGTCTGTTGGTTGTGGCAGCCATCTTGAATTTGGTTTACTCCCAACGTGTTATAATAGTAGTTGCACATCTAATGATTATTTCCTGAAAGTTACAATAAAAACCATGCAAGAATTATTCCTATACTTTTGAGATATTTTACTGACAGAAAAAGTGGATTCCATACAGTTATTGGCAGATTTTTAAACAAATGTGTCTAAACTCAGATTATGCGCTGGGGTATTGGTAAACATCCAATGATTCCTTTCTGTGGACTTCATTAAAATTTGTCCAGTGGTCCATTAGATATTTTGCCAACAGACAGGCACATAAAACACACCCATACACACACTAAGATGGACAAAAACATTATTGTCTGCCTTTGCTGTTTGGTGATAAGAGATCATTACTTCAATAGTTTCTAATAGGTTCCGTCTTGACTTGATTTTGTGTTACGTTTTGTATCTGTAGCTACATTACTGGTATTTTCCTTTAATTTTTTGTATTATTTCAGAGACATTGCAGTGAGGAACGTGTTAGTCGCCAGCCTGGAGTCTGTGAAGCTCGGAGATTTTGGCCTGTCCAGATACATAGAGGATGAAGAATACTACAAAGGTACAGTATACAGCCAAAATATTTTATTTTCCAAGATGATGTATGTCAAAAAGTAGCATAGAAGCCAATCTAATGTACAAGTTTTTGTCAACAAAATTCTAAAACGAGTAAAAACATTTTGAAAACCTTTTATTGTAGCATCCATTACTCGTTTACCAATCAAGTGGATGGCCCCAGAATCCATCAACTTTAGACGTTTCACTACATCAAGTGATGTCTGGATGTTCGGTGAGCCGGTCACATATTTCTCTCAACTTCTGTACTCATCGTTTTCCTTCATTCTGTCAAATAATTTCACATAGAACTATAAAGTTAAATATGCTTGTTTTGATCCGTTGATGTGTTTGTGTTGCTCTGCAGCTGTGTGCGTGTGGGAGATCATGAGCCAGGGGCAGCAGCCGTTTTTCTGGCTGGAGAACAAAGACGTGATCAACCAGCTGGAGCAGGGCATCCGGCTGCCCAAACCGGACAACTGCCCCCCTGCTCTCTACTCGCTCATGACCCGCTGCTGGTCCTACGACCCCAGAGAGAGGCCCACTTTCACAGAGCTCGTGGTCAAGATCAGGTGCATGTTTGTTACAAATGACAAAACAATGGCTAAAGGTGGACACGGGCAGATTATCTAATAAGTGTAGGGTGATATGGGGATGGATATATATTGTTAATTATCAGTTATGAGTTAAGCTCATAAGATATGCATTTATTATGCAAATAACCTCGTTGTGTGGTGGAAGAAGTCGTAGAAGTAGATGTGAAGAAGTGAAACTTAACTCTCTGTGTGTTTCAGAGATTGAAGGGGGTGGTCTTAACTCTTTGTCATGTTTTTTTATAAAGGCCTATTAAATAAATCTAGTCCTTTTTTTCTGTCTGCCTTAAAAGTTACTCTTTTAAAAGAGACAATACGACAAAATATATTCTTAAAGAGACATGACTTTAAACACACATTTTCATGAATAAACATTCAGGTATAAAATAAAACAGAAATGACATCTTGGAATTAATAACATGCAATGTTTCACCAAAAGGTGTCTCTGTCCATCTCCTGAAAAGGGAATGTCATTAAACAAAGGGTTCTGTAATGTGTTCTCTTCATGGGAAACCATTCTGGGAGGAAAACTCCTTTTTGATAAAGGTGAAATCTCAACGTAGCGAGTTCGGATGTTTCGAAAACTTCGAGGTCAGTTGAACCAAAAGCTCTCATTAAAACGATCTGTCCGTTTCATGGGAAATTAGTTCATAGTGACAGGTTTTTTTTTTTTTTAAATTACATTTACATTAGTTCAACTGAGAAGTTTGTGAGCTGAGTTGAACACCTGCAAAACAATGTCTGTTTGTTCCCAAGAGAATAGATGAATCTTATTTTACAGTTTCAAACACAAAAACACATGAATGATGTTTGTTTGAGATGAGGTGAACTCTTTTTCTGTTTGAGCTGAGGCGTTCTTTTTGTGAGGAGTTGTTCCCCTGCGTAAGGCTCACGCAGAAGTCGTTTCACCCGCTGCATCTAGAAGTGACCAGCGCTCGAAGTGTGGTACTCAGAACTGGCACTTTTTACATTTTTATCTTTAGCCTATCGACTATTTTTTACTGCGAACTGCCACTTCTCATAAACACACCATTACTCCGTAACAGTCATATAAACGGCATCACCCACAGGTCACTGGTTAAAAACAGGAAGTCACGACTCGCTCTACACCACGTACTCCCATCTGTCAGCCTGCTTAATAAATAAATTTTTACTATTTCAAACGCATGATGCCAACTGTGTCAAATCTGTCAGTGACGTCCACAAGATGGAGAAGGAGCAGGACGCACAGAGAGAACAAGACAGAACGCGCTCCACCAGATATTTTGAACCAAAGATCAACTTTTCTGAACCTCCTCCCAAGGTATGTATATCTAAAATCCAGCCACATTGTATTTTACATTATAGCACACAGTTCAGATTCAGAACGTTTGTTTTTATCTTTACTGAAGCCCTCCCGGTTGATGCCAGGGAGGTACGGGAACACGCTCAGCATCAGTCTACACAACCAGGTACAGGAGTGGATCAAAGTAACCTCGGGCGTTTGTCAGTTTTGGTTTTATATTCTAATTGACGTGTGTACCTGTGCAGCTGAATGAGGCTCTGTGTGCCAGCTCACCGGACCTGGCCAGTCCGTGTGAGTATCAGTCCCCCGTCGACTCCAGAAACACTCTTACGCTTCCTCTTAGGTCCCCTCGACCTCGCAGCATGGGGGTAAGACCATAACCCTGCAAGTTTAACCTCCTTTTAACACCATTTGTAATTCTCCATGTGTTTAATTGAACTTTGTAACAACAGACCTTACACTCTTTACATGTTGCTCATAGGAGAGCGAGTTCCTGCGAGTGGAACCGAACAGCAAGAAGGACGCTCAGTGGTTGTGGCAGCAGGAACGGCAGATCATGCAGGACACGCTGCGGCAGCAGAAAGAGGAGATGATGGAGGATAAGAAGTGGCTGGAGAAGGAGGAGAAACTCCTGGTGGGGACCAGAGCATCATTAGCTTTTGACCGTGTCCCTCTCTGTCCTTGTGTCTTTCTGTTGACATATTCAATGTTACCCTGGAGGCTGAGCAGAGCACCCCACTAGCTTTATAACGAATGTTCCTATGATAGCTGTTCCACAGAGAGGCTCTGGGGTCCGTAAAGTGAACCTACCTTTTTTTTTTTACAGGACCCCATGGGAGCAGAGGATGCTGACATTCCAGTGGTAGGTGTCCACCAGCACTCACTGAAAAGCTTTTGCTGGTTTAGCTCAGTTATGAAAGCACATTTAAAGTGAAACTACAACAAATTTCTTCAGATGCATAAATAAGGAGCCGCGTTAGTTCACTAAACCGCTATCGTAGACAACTTCCTTAACTGGAAATGATGTTTGAGAGAATACGTCAGTGCCTCTGCTCTGTAATGGGTACAAGCAGTTTGTTCTTTTAAACTTTAGTCCGTCATTTCAGCCATTTTTCTCATCAATGCATTTCACTTGGATTCAAACTATTTGCATAAACTAATTCACTGCAGCTCAGTTGGTACATGAAAGCAGTGGTTCCCAACTTGTTCAACCTTTTGAATAAAAAAAACACCAGAATACTTGTTCTGACCCTAGTTAATCCTGGTTGAAGTACTCAAACATTGCCAACAACCAACTTAACACAATGACTGCACAAACACCTTTAACATCCTTAACCTTCCTGTTGAACTCGGGTCAGAATGAGCCACGAGGCCTCAGTTTGCCCCATGACTCATTTTGACCCCATGGCAACAGGATGATTAATGCTGTTTTATCCATTTATGGCTGTTTTCTTTTAATGTAACAATTATGGCAAAAATTAGCTTTTTGAAAGCATTTCAAAATCCTTATTTGATTTCTGGAGAGCATCTCTGGACTGCCATTCAGTGTATCATGAGCCACAGTCCCAATCCCAGTTGAACCACCGTACCAAAGCATAAAGTCTTCTTCTTGTACAAAACAGTTAAATTTAGCTCAAAATGCCTCCTGTGGCATCACCTATTTATTTTTGTTTATAGGTAACATGTATTGTCTAGTACTCATTCTAGTTTTTTTTTTTTTTCATTCATTCATTCAACCTTTATTTAAACAGATAAATCACATTGAGCCTAAAAGACTCATTTACAAGTGAGACCTGTTTGGAGAGACAAAAAAAAAAAGTAGTAAAATGGTTTTAAAAGTAAACGTTTTCTTTCTGTAGCCCCCTGAAGCTGACAGTGAGCCTGGTAAGTACTTTAAAATTAACTTTTAGATTCATACTTTACAGATTTTGTTCTTTTGGTGTGTGACACATCTGTCTGCTCTACAGCACCACCTGAGAAACCTCCACGACTAAAAGCGCAGGTAATAAGATTAACTTCGGTGCGCCAGCGTCCTTCTTACACCACTCAAAACAAATTAAATAATAATATTTAAAATTCTGTCTAGGCTGCACCCACGGCCGAGCTCGACCGCACCGATGACAGAGTCTACGAAACCGTCATGGACTTGGTCAAAGTCGTTGTCCAACTCAAGAACGACATCACGGAGCTGCAGCCAGAACATTATATTACCATTGTTAAGGTACACGCTGAGATAATCCCCCCTCTACTTTATAGGTTGAAGCTGCTTTATTGAAAAACTTAAAATGCAGACAAACTTCCTGAGTCACCACAGATGAATTCACTGTATTGATTTCTGCCTGCAGTCTGTCGGGATGGCCTTAAGGGATCTGATTCGCAGTGTGGATGATGTGTTGCCCACTTTACATGAGTCTAACAGGACTGAGGTACAGCACAGTGTCCCCTTTAATCACACACCAAGCAGAGTTCATCACGTTTTAAAGGACTAGCTCATATCTGTTGACGTGGGATTCTAAAGTTTTAACAATATCTTACCTGCTGTAGACAGCTTTTTGAATGTTCCCGGTTTGGAGGAAAAGAGTTTAATTCTGACCAGATTGATGAGCAGGGCTGAGACTAAAGTGGATTTCTGCCACCTCAACACAACTCCAGTTTCATTATTTCATAGAGGTTCATGTGAGCACTGTTTTATAACTCTTTACAGTGCTGTGTATTTTGCTTTAGCAAGATTATTTCAGCATCAATGTAATGACACTTTTGCCTAAAGTGTCCCGAACTGCACCAAAGGTACTACAGCTAGATTTGAACATGCAAACACTCCAATAGAAATCAACTGGAATGGCTGACCACAGAACTGTCTAAGCTAACAAGGCAAGAATTTGTGCTTCCGTCTTGGTAGCACAAGCTTCCATGATGTCATTAGTTCCTGCAGCTCATAAATGTGTGAGCAAAGGAACTAAACTCAGCCAAGAAGCCTGTGGTCAGTTTGAAAAGATGGACAGATATAGTATGTTGTTTTGCCTATAATGGTTATAAATATAGGAACCTGCTTGTCAAAGAACAATATATTACTTTTTATAGGTATTATATTGTATTAGCTCATAACTGATTAAACATGTGGCCTTTTTAGCTTTTGCCTATAATGGCTGTTGTGTAAAATATTTAAAAGTGTATTTGTCTGGCTAAAACGACTGCAAAACTTTGTAATTTTATCAGCTACACTTTCCTGGGCTTCATGGGAGGATTATTACAGCAAAAATATTTTCCCTTGTTTTCATAGTATGCAAGATATTTGTTTATTTATGTTAAAAAAGCCTGTTTCTATGCCCTTTTGGACTGATAACACAGCACACAGCAAGGCATTAACAATGTGTGGTTATGACATGTAGACCGTACAGTGTGATAAATGCAGCACAAATTGTACCTAATGCTGTCAATAACCATTCCATTATATTTCTAATTCTGTGCTTGGAAATAACCACATAATTGTCTAGTTTTAAAAAATTATTGTGCAAAATTGAGAGCAGTGCAGAAATCTTTACAGTTGTGCTTACATGGATCTCTATGAAAATCTTTGGAGTTGTTTGAAGATGGCAGCGATCCACTTATAACTCTTTAACCTGCTTACATTAGCCTTTAACTCATGGATCAAATTCATAGAGCCATGTACAGCAGGTAAGATATTAATTGTTCATAACCTTTCTACAAAAGCCCCACCTAACAAGATCTGAACGCATATTTAGTTCTGTGGATGGAAGAAATCCCAGGTCGTAACGTTTTTCCTGCCTCCACAGATCGAAGGCACCCAGAAGCTGCTCAACAACGACATGGCGGAGCTGATTAGTAAAATGCGTCTGGCCCAGCAGAACGCCATCACATCTTTAAAGGAGGAGTGCAAGAAACAGATGCTGGCTGCTGCACACACTCTGGCCATGGACAGCAAGAACATGTTGGACGCTGTGGATCAAGCACGAGTCAGGGCTAATTTAGCTAAACCAGTCGACCCCTGAGTGGCTAACTGTGCAAAATGATTAAATCAGGTTTTTATTTCTGCAAACTAAAAGTTGCACAGTCAGACATTCTTGTCGGAGTGAAACTTATCACAACCAAGCCTGTTTTTTTTTTTTTTTTTTTAACAGCCATTTTTTTGTAAGAGTGTTTAATTTTGACGCGATTCTACCGTGTAACTCGGTGAATACAGACCAGTCAGACAATGTTTAGGACCCAACTTTATGCAATATTTTAAAAACTTTGAATGAAATGTCCCAGTGAGGCACTACCTTGTAGTAGTTCTGAGATACATAGAGAACAATGAAACCAAAAACATTCACACACTCGCACATAATGACAGTTTAGAGTAGCTGATAAACCCAACATGTGTTTCTTTGGACTATGAGGAAAGAACCCACGTACGCACGGGGAGAACATGTAAACTACAACAAACGAGCTGGGAGATGAACCTGCAACCTTCTCGCTAACCAAATGCTCCACCATTTTTTCCTCTTAAACTAGACTTCTCTTCAGCAAAGTTAATGTTATAAACTGTAAAAAATGTTTCCACAAGCACTGCATCAATGTAGAAGAAAGCTAACTAAAATGTAGTTGAAAATAGTATAAATATAACAAAGTTTGGGGTGAATGATAGTTAATAAAACATTTTGATTTGCGATTGAGGTTAAAATGCCTGTTGATTTTAAGTTTTTTTTTTAATTTTTTTAATGAAAGTTGTGTTCCTACAGCAGTGTGTTTGTTTCTGACGCTGTGCTCCAGCCTACAACATGTAAAATCCAATTTTATTTTAGTTTCAACTGATGGCTGACTCGGACTAAATGTCTTTCCAGTGAGTTCAGTGAACGCCACCAGGATGCAGTGCGTCTTCCTGTTGGTTTTATGACCAGTCCCAGTCCGATTACTTTGGAGATAAATCCCTTGATATGATTTTGCAGGGAAAAGTAGGTTTTTTATTTTTGCCGTACACGTCGCACCGCCGTATAAGTTGCATCAGTCCAAATATGCCTAATAAAGTAAAAAAACAATAAGTCGCTTCGCCGCATAAGTCGCATCTATTATGAGTCACCGTTGATGCATCGTATTTGTTATGAGTCACCGCTGACCACCTGGAAACGTGGGCCAGTGTTGTGCCAAAAATCGGGCTGCCAAATGGCAGGAGCGTGTATGGGAGGACTTTAACAAGAATTTAACAAGATTAACACTTAAAAACAATTGTGTTTGCTCAAAATTATAAACAAAGTTGTGTCTCAGTTTAACTTTCCTGAATAAATGCAAACGGTCAAATCAGCTTCATTTCAAAAGCTGATCCACAGCTGCGGGAGCGCACAGAGTGAGGACTCCCTGTGCATTTTGTAAAAATTTAACAAGCTTAACAATTATTTGTTTGCTCGACATTTTAGCAAAGGTGTGTCTCACTTGAACTTTTCCTTAATAAAAGCACTTTAATGGTTAAATCGGCTGCATTTCGCCAGGACGGCACAGCAAAATGCAGCTGATTGGACGTTTGCTCCAGGAGTTCTGGAGCGAGACGAAGGTGGCTTGTATGGCAAGCAAAGTGTCTCTTTAAATATCCACTTTTATCTGTTAATGAGACACTTGGCTTGCCATACTGGTCGAGGGCTCTCTAGCAGCTGAAAATGGTAGTGTTCAATATATCCTGATACATGCTCAATAATCCAGGTAGAAGAATCCCCAAAAGTTAAATCTGGTCCTCTGGACATTCAAAAAACAAGACAACAAAACAAAAAAAAAACAAAGCAAAAAAAAAAATGTAGAAACATTTCGTCTTTCATCCGAGAGACTTCCTCAGTCTGAGGTGCTGTTTTCAGCTCAGTCTCTTAAATAGCACCTTCTCAGAGGATCAACCAGTTTGCTGCTGACAACCATAACCAGCTGCTCACATGGTCAAGAAGGACCATCAGCCTAACAATGGATCATTAGCACCTGATGGCTGTTTACTGTTCACAGAGGGCTGAGTGATACTAGCAATCACAGCATTGTAAGAGGGGGACAGTTGAACCCGGAGGCCTCCACCCCTGTTTAACAATGGACGATTTCTTTTCACAAAGATGGCCTCCTTTACTCCTCTCTCAAACCATCGTTCCTCTCTGTCCAGGATGTGAACATCTTCATCCCTGAAAAAGTGACCGCTGGCCTGGAGATGAGTGTAGACCGCAGAGTCCTGGCCTGATGATGTTGATCTTCTGTGCTGGTCCATCCTTTTGGCCAGTGGCTGTTTAGTTTCCCTAATGTAAGACTGATCACAGCCCTCCTGACACTGAACAGCATACACAACATTACTCTGTTTGTGCCGGGGGACTGGATCTTTGGGATGAATTTGCCGTAATGTATTTTGGGGTTTAAAAGCCACTGGAACGTTATGTTTAGAAAATAAATGTCTCAATTTCTCTGATACTCCCTCAACATACGGAATGACCACTGGTCTGGGTCTGGGTTCCTCCTTTTCACCTGATGGCTGACTGGAGTCCTGTTTGGGTTTCTTCTCTGCTTTCAGGAAGGCCCAGTTAGGATATCCACATTGCTCTAGAGCCTGTTTTGTGTAGGATTACTCCTTCTGCCTGGCTCCTGAGTTAGTGGGGACGCTGTCTGCTCTGTGATACAGAGTCCTGATGACTCTTAACTTGTGCTCCAAAGGGTGATGGGAGTCAAACGGCAAATACTGGTCTGTGTGGGTTTCTACTTTTTTTTTGCCTTTTGGTTTTTTGTTTTGTTGTTTTTTGAATGTCCAGAGGACCAGATTGAACTTTTTTGGGTAGTGTTCAATATTTTCCATGTCCGAATGCATGAACTAGTCAGATCTCAGCCAAAAATTGGGTTATAAATATTGGGAAAAAACACATTCGCTTCAGAGTACAAGTCGCAGGACTTGCAAATTTATGTAAAAAGGTGCGACTTATACAGCGAAAACTACGGTACATAGCACGATTATTCAAAGGAATTTTGGCTGCATTGTGAAAGAAATGCGGCATGTAAAAATTGAAAACAGGCGTGTGGCACCATGATGCAGTAATTCTAGCAAATTCAATCAAAAGCAACCAAATCCCCCCCCCCCCCCCAAAAAAAGGATAGGTCTCCACACTTGTAGAGCAAATTAAAAAAGCTTCTTGAATAGGAAGTGAAAGTGCATTTGATTAAACTTGTTATAATAAAATTCACAGCAGCCATTGGTTCCAGATGAATAATCCTAAATGGGATTATAACGGTTTATTTTGCATAATTTAAAGATGAGATATCCATCCTATTATTGCTGTTAGTGTCTGAACCAAAAGATCAAATGTGAAACAGCTTTGGACTGAACGGAAGCTACAAGTTTTGGTGATTAATCCAGAAATCCCTTTAAATCTGGGTACAACTGCTACATATTTACAATAAACAGCTGTCACTGGGAGCAGTAAATGGTTTTTAGTGTGGCTCTTTTAAATCTGACTCGACAGTAAAACTAAACATTCTAACATTAGCAAACACTGGTCAAACTGACCTGAATTTTAGCTACATTTATATTTTGTTACATTTGAATAAAATCTAAAATGAAAACTGATTAAGTGAAAATTGTCTGTTATACAGAAAATAAGTTAATTGCAGCTTTTAAATTTTATCCATACTTTGTGACCATTTCTGCTAAAACTTGTGAGCCTATTTTAACTCCTAAACATTAGCTTGCTTATATGCATTTCCTCCAGAGTTTATCATCCGAGACCATCAGTGAATGTTAACTTGCAAACGTTGGCATTCCAGCCGAACGCCACCTGATGAGCATTTCATGTGAGGTGCATCTTCCACTGAGTAAAGCTGCAACAAGTCAGCATATCTCCGTCTGCTGAAATGCATGAGATACTAAAGCTGCACTTTTAAGTGTACAGTGAACTCTGAAAATAAACCTTTGAAACAACCGGTGACAATCTGGATCTGTTCACCGTGTAGGTGTTGATGCGTAACGAGTTTCATGAACTTTTTAGGCCACAGAGGTTGCGCTGTTTTATCCAAACACAGTCCCAGTTTTGAAGTTCAGCTACTTGTTTTACTTTAATGCTTTCACACGGAAATTAAATCATGCCAGCCAGCCACGGAGGGAGAAAGAGGCCTATGGTCCCAAGCAGGCACACGATGATGAACATCCAAAGGAAGATGCGGTCGATCACCATGGCGACGTACTTCCAGTCCTCCTTCACCTGTGAAAAGAGAGTAAAGCTCAGGAAAACCAAGAATAAATCATGTTTAACATAAAACATAATTTAACAGGCCAAATGGTAAATGTAGTCAGAGTAGATATATATTTAGGCAATTACATCAGGTATAAGTTATGTGATGAAAACACTGAACCATCAACGCTGCAGCCTAAGGATAAATATTTTGACATGGCAAAACAGTTGTCGTTAAAAGAAGAATGTTTTTTTTTATTCAGTAACGTTTCCAAATCTGTTTTATTGAGGAATTTTCTACAATTTCCTGCAGAATCAAAGTTCTATCTTATACAGATGATGGTCATAAAATTAGAATATCATGACAAAGTTGATTTATGTCAGTAATTCCATTCAAAAAGTGAAGCTTGTACATTCATTACACACAGACTGATCTATTTCAAATGTTTATTTCTTTTAATGTTGATGATTTGAACAGACAGCTAATGAAAACCCCAAATTCAGTATCTCAGAAAATTAGAATATTGTGAAAAGGTTCAGTGTTGAAGACACCTGGTGCCACACTCTAATCAGCTGATTAACTCAAAACATTTGCAAAGGCCTTTAAATGGTCTCAGTCTAGTCCTGTAGGCTACACAATCATGGGGAAGACTGCTGACTTGACAGTTGTCCAAAAAACGACCAGTGACACCTTGCACAAGAAGGACAAGACAAAAGGTCATTGCTAAAGAGGCTGGCTGTTCACAGAGCTCTGTGTCCAAGAACATTAATAGAGAAACAAAGGGAAGGAAAAGATGTGATTAAAAAAAAAAAAGTGTACAAGCAATAGGGATAACTGCACCCTGGAGAGGATTGTGAAACAAAACCCATTCTAAAATGTGGGGGAGATTCACAAAGAGTGGACTGCAGCTGAAGTCGGTGCTTCAAGAACCACCATGCTCAGACATATGCAAGACATGGGTTTCAGCTGTCGCATTCCTTGTGTCAAGCCACTCTTGAACAAGAGACAGCATCAGAATCGTCTCGCCTGGTACTGATGCTGAGTGGTCCAAAGTTATGTTCTCTGAAAGTAAATGTTGCATTTCCTTTGGAAATCAAGGTCCCAGAGTCTGGAGGAAGAGGAGAGGCACAGAATCCATGTTGCTTGAGGTCCAGTGTCAAGTTTCGGTGATGGTTTGAGGTGCCATGTCATCTGCTGGTGTTGGTCTACTGTGTTTTCTGAGGTCCAAGGTCAACGCAGCCAACCAGGAAGTTTTAGAGCACTTCATGCTTCTGATCAACTTTATAGAGATGCAGATTTCATTTTCCAACAGTTCTTGGCACCTGCACTCAGTGCCAAATCTACCAGTACCTGGTTTAAGGACCATGGTATCCCTGTTAACTGGCCAGCAAACTTGACTGACCATAACAACATAGAAAATCTATGGAATATTGTGAAGAGGCTGGCTGTGATGTGATACACCAGACCCAACAATTCAGAAGAGCTGAAGGCCACTATCAGAGCAACCTGGACTCATCACACCTGAGCAGTGCCACAGACTGATCGACTCCATGCCACGCTGCAGTAATCCAGGCAAAAGGAGTAACAAGTATTGATGCTGTACATGCTCATACTTTTCAGTTGGTCAACATTTCTAAAAATCCTTTTTTTATTTGTCTTAAGTAATGTTCAAATTTTCTGGGATACTGAATTTGGGGTTTTCATTAGTTGTCAGTTATAATCAACATTAAAAGAAATAAACATTTGAAATATATCAGTCTGTGTGTAATGAATGAATATAATATACAAGTTTCACTTTATGAATGGAATTATTGAAATAAATCAACTTTGTCATATTCTAATTTTATGACCAGCACCTGTAAATACATGAATGTAATGACCGATTAACATGATCAAAAAGGATTTAATTGTACTGAAAATGTGTTGCATTCTTCTGTTTTTTTTTGTTGATTTTGATATGCGAGAGTCAGTATGTCTAAAATAAAAGCAAATAAATGTGATTTGATAGATCAGTTAGTTCATGACAGATGATCTTAGATTAACTAATAGATTGTTTGATGATCAACCAAACTGGAAGCTCTGCAGGACCACAGAGCTGCTGATGCTGTTGTAATACGTGACGGACGTGATACTCACACTGAAGTCAGCATCCTCGGCTCTCAGGTGGTCTGCGATGTAGTGCACGCCTTCTAAAGCACGCATCACGTTCGGTGAGAGCTGCAACGACTCCAAACTGTCACCTGTAGCTGGCTTCTGAGTGGAGTTAACCCTGCCACCAGCTGACTGTCTGACCGACGCTGCAGCTCCCTCCTGTTGGTTCTGCGTTTGCGTTTGTTGCGACGGAGGAGTCGAACCCGGGGGTCTCGGTGATGGGGGGCGAAAGAAGAAGTATGTTGCCAGAGTGCCGAGCTCCAAATCCTCGTAGCAGCATCTCTCTGGGTTTTCCAGAACGTTCCCGTCTCTCAGCCAGGTGGACGAGGTGCTGATGCAGTTGGCCGGTTTGTACCCGGCCATCCGTAAGAGCCGCCGCTCCTCCTGGAGGAGCAACAGCCTGCGGCGCCGGCCGTCAGGCGCAGGCCGGCGCATGAACAGCCAGCGCGGGATCAGGTCCAGGAACACGGAGTGGACCCAGCGGGGCATCTTATGAGTGCTAGGGGAGCGGTGGTGCACGTTGAGCACGAACACGGTGATGACGATGGACAGAGTGACAAAAATCATGGTGAAGAGGAGGTACTCGCCAATGAGGGGGATGACGAGGGACGTGGATGGTATGATCTCCGTGATAAGCAGAAGGAAGACGGTGAGGGACAACAGCACGGAGATACAAAGAGTGATCTTCTCTCCACAGTCTGAGGGCAAATAGAAAACCAACACAGTGAGGCAGGAGATTAACAGGCAGGGGATGATGAGGTTGATTGTGTAAAACAGAGGGAGCCTTCGGATGATGAAGAAGTAGGTGATGTCTGGGTAGATCTCGTGGCAACAGTCGTATTTCTTAGTGTTGTATGTCCCCACAGCGTTGATGATGGCCCATTCTCCGCTCTCCCAGTAGTTGTTGAGATCCACGGTGTTCTCAATTCGCTCCAGGTCAATCTTGGCCTTGTCATAAGTCCAGGAGCCGAACTTCATTTTGCAGTTCTGCTGATCGAAGGGGAAGAAGGTGACGTCGATGCTGCAGGAGCTCTTGTAAATGGCCGGCGGGACCCAGCGGACTTTGCCCGTGTAGAACAAGTGAGCTTTCGTCATATGGGTCACGGCAAATTCACCATCAGCACTGGAGGAGAGGACGAAGAGACAATGTGAAAGCACCAGCAGAAACACTCATTTAGAGGTAAAAAAAAATAAAAAAAATATCCAACAGACAATAGAAGTCGTTTTTTTTACTTTGGAGAGAATAATGGAAAGCTTCTGTTGAAGCTATTATCATTTTATCAGTCTCCTCTTTTCATTTCTCTAACAGACCGTGATTACAGAGACCCAACGGAGCAGAACTCGGCAATCAACCAGCTCCATTTAATCTCCATGAGGTGAATTTAGATGAACGAGTCAAACCCGAGTGGATTTTATACAGAAATCATCTGAATGAGAGCTGTGTACATTTAGAAATAAATATAATCCATCAAGATACCATGAAAGTAACAAAGAAAAGTCAAATATGTTTTACATCTGTTACAGATTTAAACAGAACCATACATTTTGTGATTTAATAAAACCGATATATTAACCACTAGATGGCGCCAGCTTCACACAATGTATAAAAAGTGCTTTTATTCTATAACATGTTAATAAAAAGTACTTTTCTATTACGTGCAGCTCTGTGAAAACAATAATTTAGATAAACTGAAAAGTTTTACTGAGGTTTAGCCTTTATTTTAAATAAATTAGACACTGAATAAAAATGTTGCATGCTCAACAGAGTTATGAGTGAGTTCCTGGTTTACCAAGTCAAATACTTTACAAAGACAATCACATCTGAAAAAACAAAAAAATTAAACCCGTTTAGAAAGTGAGCAGCTCAGAAAGCTTAGTGATGATTAAACTTTACAAACAATATTGATCATTTTCTAAAATAACCAGAACAAGTCCTCAAGATATAATAAAACAGAATCTGACTTTAATGTAATGGGACTCTGGCAGCTCGAGTCGTGGGAGAATTTAAATAAATACACATAAAAAATGGTTACTGCTGTTTGTAGTAAAATAAAAAAAAGCAGCATTAAACAACATAAAGCTGGAGCCTTTGGTCATGTCTGAACACGTATTGATGCTGATGAACGCTGCAGACAATCTGAAAGTTTTTTCGCACCTTTTGCGTAAATTAGCATGCCCTGCGACTTATACAGCGAAGCAACTTATTTATGTTTTTCCCCCATATTTATAACTCAGTTTTTGGCTGAGATCAGATTTCATTCATTTTTACATGGAAAATACTGAACACTACCATTTTCAGCTGCTAGAGGGTGCTCAACTAGTATGGGAAGCCAAATGTCTCGCTAATAGGTAAAAGTGGATATTAGGGTTGCCATACTGAGCCACCTTTGTCTTGCTCGGGAACTCCTGGAGCAAACGTCAAACTAGCTCAATTTGGCCGCACATGCAGCAGATTTGACCACTGAAGTGAATTTTTTTAAGGAAAAGTTCAACTGAGACACACCTTCGCTATAATTTCAAGCAAACACATGATTGCTTTTAGGTGTTAATCTTGTTAAATGTTTTGTTAAAGTCCTCCCGTGCACGCTCCTGTGGCTGCCATTTGGCAGCCAATTGATTTTTGGCACAATGCCAGCCCAGGTTTTCAGGTGGTCAGCGGTGATGCATAACAAACGCGACGCGTCAGCGGTGACGCATAATAGATGCAACTTATACGGCAAAGCAACTTATGGTTTTTTTCCTCACTTTATTAGAAATATTTGGACTGATGCGACGTGTACGGCAGAAAGTATGGTAACAGGTAAGCATAAATGGACACAATAATTATTTTCTTTTATTAGTTTTAACTAGTTTTTGCATTTTGATTCACCTAAGAACTTAATGACCTAAGAACTACATGACAAAAATATTTATTAATATTAATAAATAAAAGGTTAAATCATGTCATCTGGACCAGTTTCTTTAAGTGAGAAATGTTTCGTCCCCCATCCAGAGGACTTCATCAGTCTACGGCCTGCCAACCTGTCCCATAGGCAGCCTTCACTGCTGTGTTTCAAGCAAACCTTCTGTTGAAATCGCAAAAGTAAACTTTTAACACCATGTGCACGATTATTAAAGATGGTAAAATAATACTTGTCACCAAATGTTTGTCCCTAAGGGCCATCTTTACTGCTACATGTCTTTTCTTGCAACTTACTTGTTATAAAGTACGATATCTGGTACCCATATGAGCTCTGAAGGAACTCTGATGGACGTCACGTTGTCAAAGTCAGACGGTCTCCAGCGAAGCTTGTAGTCGTTCCACTCCTGGGAGGGACAAACCAACTTTGAAGGTTGATGTATTTGTGCGTCATATTTCTAGTTAAAATCCTAACAAACCAACATAAAAACATTTTTTCTTACTTGTTTAAGCCACACGTTAGTTGTCATCATTTGGTTCTTCTCATCCTAAAAGATAAAGACGGGCAGAAAATGCGGAGAACATGGTAAAGAGTGGGGCCAAGTCAAAGAGTAACAGACTTTACAGTACTTTAGTCAAACAAAATGTATTTGTTAGTGTTTGAAACTCAAAGCTCAACATGTGACTCGAATAAAATAAATAACATTTTAAAATGAAAAGCTAAGCCGAGTTGTACTCAGAAGTGAAGTCTGTTTCTTTGTGATTTCATTTAAACCAGAACAGAAGTTCCCACCACATCGATGAGCTGAGCTATGGACAGTCCGAACTTGACAATGACCACGTCGGAGATGTTCGGCACGGGCCTGGACCACTTGTTGTAAGCAGAGAACAGCGTCTTGAAGAGCTCATCCTCAGCGTGCGAGTGAGTCTTCACCTGGCAAAGAACTGTGGAGAAAAACATAAATGTTTTGAAAGTGCACAAGAGCCTCCCGTTTTCACAGCTCATAAAAACATCTGAGGTTGAAGGATTCCATGTAGTTTTCAAAGTAAATGTAGTTCTAAATTTACACTTTTTACTGCTGCACACCTTTTTAGGAAATAGTATGTCAAGAAAAACAACAATTAGATGGAAGAGTAGGAAGTTCAATAGTGCATTGATCTTCTCTCATCCCTGACCTTCACAATCCTGCTTTAACAAATGGTACCAAATGTAACTGCTGCGATTTTAAGCTTGTGGAAATATGAGCAAGAGTAGGGAGCATGTGCGTTTCATTAGGCCTGTCACGATAGCAAATTTTGCTGGGCGATTGTCTCAGAAATTATTGCGATAAACGATAATATTGTTTGAAATTTGACAATAATTAGTAGTGTCAAATTTAAGAAGAAATGTTGGTTAATTTTTGTGTGTAGTACCATTGGATGGCAGTATAAGACTGTTTGAACCGGAGGATGGATAGTGAGGGAGCGAGCAGTGTGTCGCTTTAAGAAAAATGGGAGGGAGGCCCCTTGACGTGACATGGGCTGTCTCTCGGTTTGAGATCTTTAGCATAGCATTTGTCACACAAAGCTTTTAATAAAAAAAAAAAAAAAGTAAATGAGTTCTCAGCTTCTTTTTGCAGAGAAAAGCAATTTTAGATGAAGGGAGAGTTTCACCCGTGAATTTTGGAACTTCAACAAGACGGAGGTTTTTTTTTCCTCGAGGTTGGCCTGTTAGCTTAGCTCGTAGTTTAGCTTCTCAGCTTAGCTGTTTTAATGATCCAAAAATGCAATTTTGGACGGTTAAAATTGATTTTAAAGAGAAAGGGAGTGAAGAGCACCAGAGTTGTGCCTCTTGTCATCCAGTGTCTTCATTAGAACGAGAGAGACACGAAGAAACGATAAAGCCGATAAATGAAAAGAGGTCGATAATTTTCATTTATCATGCGATTAATTGATTTATTGTTTATTGTGACAGGCCTATATTTTATCAAAATTTTTTTAAAATATATCTTAGACTTCTCGCTGTAAAGTCTTATCGACTTTTCCACATCTTGTGATGTCTTGATTTGAGCTCCGCCTGAGGTAATCTCTCAAGATGGGCAGATAGAGACTGAGGAAATATCTATTCTTTCTTCAAAATGGCCCCATTCAAGGCATAAAGTAATATTATCTGTACGTGTGGCTTCACAGGGAGAGGTTGCCTCTTTAATTGGATCGTTAATAAGCATTTTAGACTAAATCAATGCATTAAACACGGGAATAAACAGGAATCAGCGCTTTGAAATTTCTCACCCGTTAGCATAGTCAGACTGAGTTACACATCATTACTATGAGTTAAGGTGAGATGAGCTTTTTTTGTCTACTTAACAGCGATATCATGTTAACATGTCTGACGGTTTTAGTGGATTATATAATGAAAATAGATTTTCTTGAAAAAAAAAGGCATCATAACAACCACCTTGAGTTAAAGTCTTGTGTGATCTGGCAACACTCAGTATGTATTAGGGATGAGTCTCAGCTACCACCACAGCAAACTTTAGCTCAACATCTGTTGAATTAACTCAGTTATGGTTATTTTTGTGATTGCTAAAGTTGAATATTTTAATATGTTGCTAAACACACAAAGATTATTCGTTGCAAAACAATCAACAAGGGCTAAAACTATTTTCACATGCGTACAGTTAAATCCACTAACTACATAAACCTGAAAAATACCTTAACGGTAGCAGCGCAACAAGTGAATACACTACAATCTTGACATTTTTACAGCAGCTCGTGCTCTACTCATCTTAAAAATGGTGACTTATTGTTCGCATGGTTTGTTCAAGTAACTCTTGACAAGACTGATGGATTGGTTTCCCCTTTGAAATTTCTTATATTTTTGCACATCTGTCAAAACATTGTCTTTTGTTTTAAAAAAAAAAGCCCCAAAACTGTAATATAAATGTAAAAAATACATGTGCAGCCCTACTCCAAGGACTAAAATCATGTTCAAAATGAAAAGCTCTATTGGGTTGCAAATAATGTTTCGTTAACTGTGTATCTGTCTTGAATAGTGAAGGGTAAACGGCAACCCAGTGAGGTGTGCAACCATCAAGGACCATCAAATAGGACCTTCATCTGGTAACAAACATTGTTGGCCACATTATTACCTGCCCATATGGTGAACTGTTCAGCTTGTAAAGTCCAACTCGTACTGTAGATGAACATTCAACAAGTTCAAGTGAAGATTAAACAATCAGTAACAATAGTCTTTTTTTTTTTTTTACTTCTTCTCAGCATTGCCTATTTAGAAATGAGCTTTGCAATATATGAAGATGGTACTAGAATTTCCCCAACTAGCTTATCTTTTTAAAGTCACAAACAAGGATGAACCTCAGACTTTGTCTACTGTCATTCGATAAGTGGAGTGGGGCACGTTCATCTGTCCGTGCATCTGGGAAAGACCAGATGTGAGGTTTGGCAAAAGGCTCTTGGCCGCCATATATCAAATCCTCCTGCCAGTGGAGTTTTGAAACGAGAGGACACCTCCAACATTCAGCACGCTGGACTGAGAAGGTTGGACGGCGGCCAACCCTCTTGGCGAGATGTATAAAACACTGACCGGTTTGGAGGATCGAGTCAGCAGCTTCTCCAGCCAGAGGCGCTCTCGGTGAAATTGGGCTGTCAAGTGCTTACAGTAAAAAGTTCACAGAAGAAACACACGCAACCCTTTGTGGAGGGAGAAAACTGCAAGGTTCCAACTCAGAGAGGGGATCTGTGTCGGTGTCGTAACAGCAAGCTCCAGCTGACGTTCACATGCGACTGCTCAAGTAGAGCTGGGAAACCTTCACATGCAACATAAATCCACAGTGGGCATTTATTGAGAGAGTTCCTGCAACGCAGTGAAAAAGTTATTCACATTCAAGCGTTTAAAATGATCTCCCGAAAAAGCCTCTTTAAAAATGTTTTTGAAGTTGACTCCAGCTCCGTTTTTACAATTATGCCTAGAAAACATTGTGCTTTCATAATAAAAGCACACAAGGTGTGTTTAGTTTAACACACAAAAAAAAAAAAAAACTGCAGAAAACGTCTTCAGTTGAGATAAACATTTATCTTTATCTGTGATGCTGTAAATATTTCTAACAATCTGTATCACATGGAGATGCAAAATAATGAAAATAGATGATGCAGCAAATGCTTATCATTGTATTTATGTAACATTTAATGATGTTTTTTTTCTTTTACAGAAAAAGCCACCAATGTTTTGTGCATAAGACAAACAAATATGTGATAAATAATAGCCTGGCAAGCTAAAAGTTGGGCAACTCCTCACTAAAATAATGTGTCATGCCAATAAAAGCTTAAAAATAAAGCATCAGCTTGAAAAAGTTATTAATAAATAAATGAGGTAAAATAACCTCAGTAGCAGCTGTGGTCACATTTTTCTTGGAGTGAAAATTAAAGGCTGTAAAAATGACTAAAGGTGTTTCAAATGATTAATTATGTCATGGCTTTAGTAGAATGTGTTTTTTTGTGTTTAAAAAAAGTAATAATATATCTTTAAGCAAGTGTTCATGTTCAAAACAGGAAAAATATGTTTATTAACCAAAAATAAGTATTGGTACTTACAGTGCGTAGGTGAAAAAAAAGTGCAAAGTGCCATTTAACAAAATTTAGTTTGCTCATTTACAAAGTAGAATTAAGCTTAAAGGAATATAGGTGCAGTTAAATAATATATATTAGGTCAGCTTAATTTTTTTTTTTTAAATATGTGCAAAAATAAATAAACTTGTATTGTGGCTAGCTTTTGGGCTAAGCTAGCAAACAAACCGCTTCAAGTAATTATTTTTCTTTTGTCTGAATTTAAAAAATATTAAAAAGAGTATAAATACTTTTATTGACAAATAAATTCAGACTTACAAGTTTGGACAAAAAAAAAAAAAAGAGACTAACAAAAATCATATTTTTGCCAGAAGAACAAGCACGCGCCACTTGCGCAATCAGAGAGGATCATGGGACTTTTCTAATCAACATATTAAATTTAAACTAGTTTGGCTAGCCGTTCGTGTCCGTAACACCGTCCCGTTTTCGAATTAAATACAAAGAAACGCTTACCTGACCGAGTCAGAAGAACGACCCAGACAACAGAAGACCATTTTAAGAAGAACAGGTGGTTGTGGATCATTTTGCACTTGGGTCGAGGAGAAAAGTCCAACTTCGTCATCAGAGTGCAGCGCGGAGCCGGTACCGTCAGTCACCGAGTGAGCAGCATCTGTCATGTTCGCAGCTGGGAGGCATTACAGGGTAACTTCACCGCCACTGGCACGAAAACTGCTGAAATATCACCGATCCGACATCAAATTGACGCACCGACATGTAGCTCATTGCTCAGCTTCGGTAAGTGCCACTTTTAATGTCAGCGAGAGGAAACATTCGTGGTTCGCAGCACAGTCCATCAATCTTACCACCTTTAATCAGACGAACAAGTTTATGAACTGGTCCAAAACAGTCATTCAATCCTGGTTTGCATGTGCGCAGCATCCAAACCTGTTTATTCCATATTCGAGCCAACACAAAGTGCATCCCCTGATGGAGAGGTGCAGGTCTGCACTGTTAGGTCCGAGAGCTGGGACATTGCTGAGCACCTTTATCTGGTTGGCTCCCATTAAAGGTCCCTCCTTCCTGCTCTTTCTGTCATCCTCTCTCTCTCTTCACTCCTTCTGTCCCTTACACACAGGAATCACTGTAGAAATGACATTAAGGACCACTCCGGTTCAATATTTACCTTTGAAAATACAGCATGACCACGATTTATTTATAAAATGATGAGTGACAGTTAAGTGGACTGTTTCTGTGAAAATCAGCTAGAGGGCAGACTTAGTGAATGAATCTACTTGGCGGGGTGTTTTAGTTCTCCAAAACACACATGGATCACAAAAGAATCTCAAAACTTTATCATGAAAACAAATAAATAAATAAACGCGTGAAAGTTACCCAAGAGCAATATAAGCCAAAATGTTCCTTTATTGTCTCAAACATAAATCACCATCATTAAAAATGAATTAAAAAGAAAATCACTGTAATGCCATGATATGTGACTTATTGTGCTGCTGATTATCCATGCTGCTGATCTCATGCTGCCATATTTATTCATTCATACCCTTCTGCTCACTACAGACTCATGTTCAGGCTGCTGTTTAATATACCGTGTTATTTTCACTATTAGTGGTATATCTTAGATCCTTATATGCCGTTTCTTTTTATACTTATTATATTTTTGCTATTTTTGGGTGTAACTGGGACCTTGAGTACATAATTTCGTTCCACCTCATGTACCACACGTGACGCAAATGACAATAAATATGTTTGAACTTGAACTACAAACCTGTGTGAGTGCAAATGTCAAAGGAAAACCCTTCACTGGGCGTCCAGATAGGAGGGAAAAAGTCACCTGACCAGACACTAAACTCATGTAAAATTCTAATGTTTGAACATGTAAATTATTGCATCTATGTGAGCTGTTTCCTAGACATTGATCTGTTCTTTTTATTATTAAAGAAACATAATCCCCGTTGCCCCACTATTTAGTATAAGTATTGTGATCTCCATTCTCATACAAGAACCAGATGGTCGGCCCATAGTTTCCACCAACACAGTCCTAGAGGGTCTTCAAGTTGATTCATAAATCTTGGACTTGCTTCAAACCAAAACACGACAGACTGCTGTGATTTTTGACCTCACCAAGTTCCACAAATAACGGAAAATGTTTAATAAATCAAGGGCTTATTATACTTTTTCTAGAAAAACGGTGTTTCTCTGAAAGGTTTTCTCTGCTGCTTTCTGTTAGCCTTTTCTGTTCAGTCATACACGTCTGTGGATTGTTGCGGATAATCCAAAGGCTCACACAGATACACTGTTGTATCACATATAGAAATAAAAATCCAGGACTATTTAATACTCTCATTCCAGGCTTTGTTTTCAATGAAGCACGCACGTGAATAGTTTTGAAACACTTTTTAATAATGCTGGATTTTGACAATGTCTTTCAACTGCCTGGCAAATGAGGCGTGCAGGGCTTGTGATGACCTCTCCAACCTGTTGGCAATGTCCGCTGCAGCACGAAGCATGTCTTTAAAGACCAAGGACTCTTCTCTTATTCTGCTCCGGAACACAAACAGTCCAGTTTGAAGGAGTGATGAGAAGAGAAAGCACCAGACATGGGGGAAAAAAAAAAAAAAAAGCAAGGAGAGTGAGTAAAGATAAACCTGATAACAAAATGGGCATTACTGTATATACCATATTTTCCGCCCTATAAGTCGCACCGCCTTATAAATTGCATCAGTCCAAATAGGTCTTAATAAAGTGGAAAAATCCATAAATATGTCACTTCGCCGTATACGTCGCATCTATTATGCATCACCGCTGACAACTCAGAAATGTGGGCCGAACCCAGAAATGTGGGCCGTTGTTGGTGTTGTGCCAAAAATCGATTGGCTGCTAAATGGCGGCCACGGGGGCGTGCACAGGAGGACTTTAACAAGAATTTAACAAGATTAACACTTAAAAACAACTATTTGTTTGCTTGAAATTATAGCAAAGGTGTGTCTCGGTCTAACTTTTCCTTAATAAATGCACTTTGACGGTCAAATCGGCTGCATTTTTCAAAATCGGATACGCAGAAACATGAACGCGCAGAGGGCCACTCGTTGTCCATTTCTTCGAAATTTAACAAGATAAGCGCCTAAAACAATTATTTGTTTGCTCGACATTATAGCAAAGGTGTGTCTCAGTTGAACTTTTACTTAATGAATGCACTTCAATAGTCAGATTAGCTGCATTTCACCGGGGTGGCGCAGCGAAATGAAGCTGATTTGACGGTTGCTCCAGTCAGACGACTGTCCGGCTTTGGCAACCTGATTGTGTTCTTAATAGCCACTTTTACCTATTACATGAAACAACGGCATGCCATACTGCTCGAGCGCCATCTAGCGGCTGAAAATGGTAGTGTTCAATAGTTTAAGTCAGAATGAATGAAAACAGTCATATCTCAGCTAAAATTGGTTTATGAATATGGGAAGAAATCCATAAATACATCGCTTCAGCGTATAAGTCGCAGGGCATGCAGATTATGCAGAAAACTGTGACTTATAGGGCGAAAAATACGATAGGTGTTTTACAGTGATGTAATGAATCACATTGTACTGAGCAAAGTTTGCTATTCCAACTAAATATGGATTTGTGTATCCTCAGTGGGTATATGGAAATTACTTTCATCAGAGATTAGTCTGTGTTTTTGTCAGATTCTCTAATTATCACCCAGTTTTTGTGATTGCCTGTTTGTGTGTATCTTGTTGGAGTTTCTGTCTGGTAGCAAAATACTGTTTCCCATAAACCTCTGAACAGGTTTTATTGACACTCGTAAAATAATCATTAGGTGTACAATTACAGCTGATTAACTTTTGAAGTCAACCCAATTCAAGACATCCACCGCAGCGAACTGGTCTTAGAAAACAAAAGTCTACAACTCAACAGTCAGTTTCACATATATAAAAGTCATATGATGTGATTTGTATGGAAAAAAAATAGAAAGATTGGGTTCTTAAAATCGGAAGCCCAAATCAGGAACAGGAATCTGAGTAAATCAGCAACTACCCTAACAAAATAGTGTCTAATGAAAGAGTGTATATCCTTTCTCTTCAGCCTATTTAACTAAATAGTACATTTTAATTTCACTCACTTCTGCATTCCTGTAAAAGCATTCACGACGTCTCCCTCCAGCTGCTTTTTCAAATCATTTTCAGCTTTCTCCACCACCTCAATGCAGCCTTTTTGGTCCTCTTGGATCCCAATGATATTGTCCTTAATCACATCTTCGTAGCTCTGATCCCCCAGCTCTGCCCCTACAAACTGCTCTAAATTCTCCACCACGGCCTTGTTTCCACGCTGTATGGTCCTCAGGTGGGACAGCGCTTCTTTCTGAGCATTCAGCCTTCGAGCCAAAGCAGCTGAGTTGGTGCCAAAGTGGACTGAGCACTCATCCGGTTGGAGGGAAGGTGCTGGTGAGGATCCCATTGATACCATTTGGGGATGGTTGTCCTTCACCCTCCCAGGCTCATCACCAATGGCCTGCAGTGTGCTGTTGATGTCCACTGTGGCAGGGAAGACATAAAAGCCTGAACCCCAGTCATCATCTCCACTTTGACTGAGTATTGGGGTTGCCATGGAAACCCAAGCCAAGATGAAGTTCATCCAACATTTCTTCATAATAACCTGAAGAAAGAAAAGTGAATTACTGTGAACTTTGTAGGTGAAAAAACATTATTTATGCTAATCTTTAATATCAAACCAGCCCTTCCCAGTCCATTTTGACTGGTCTGTGCTTAAGCCATGTAACTTTTAAAATTATTTTGATTTAATCACAGTATAGTACACACATTGTATACAAATGAGTATATATACCACAAAAAACAGCATATGAACAAGAGCATATTATATATGATTACTGTCACCTGATGCATGCTTAATAATCCAGGTGTCTAACAAGGTTGAGTCAAGTCCTCTTGAATCCATCCAGAGGACCTGACTCATTAGAATACTGTTACCATATTACTGTTAATTAATATGAACATATAAGCACACTTTAAAAATGTAATGTGGACACGTTTATTTGTCTTGTAGGTCTAATTTTGCAATGTGTTTAATCCATTAATTTCAAATGATTCAACTCTAAACTAGGGATGCACAATATTATTGTCGGCATGGTATCGGTATCGGCTGATATTAGCGATAAAGTTAAGTATCGGACATCGTCCATTCCATCAAAATAACTCACCGATTTAAAAGGTGCTGTGTATATACATAAATATATATATGGCGCTGTTTTTGTATGACAACCCAGTGACAAGGATGCCTGCAGTGCCAGCATGCTATGACATCACGTGTGCCGTTGTGAAAATTTACAAATTTGTACTGTTTGGGTGTTGTTATTGTGTTAAAGAGAGTAAATGTCATGAATAAATTTGACATTAAACATAATCCAAGTTGAAGTGTTACATAATTTTCAGCCCCCTTTTTGGCATCTGCATTTGGTAACAGGTCAAACTGACAAAGACCATGCAGAATAATCTAGTATTTTAATTCCACAGCAGAGAAAGCTATGTAGTCTCTGTAAGTAGGTCTAGGGAA